ATTTTTGTAGATTTACGTATTATGTCACTGTTTTCTCTTCTAACTCGATTCTACCGTAGATATCGTCGAATGTGGCATGCCGTAGTGGATGAAGTGGTACCGGCAGAAGACCCTGTTTCGCCGCTGTCTTCTGGCAAAGGAATACGTGCCGTTGTGCCGATAGTTAGTAACGAACAAATCAATACCTATTCGGTGATAAGTTGAGTTCTTTTTTCCAGATACCAGACGGTCGTCCTGTTTTTGTAGTCCCTTTGGCAGATGTGAACGTCTACGAGGGCGATCGTGTCGTTCTTCAACCTGAGATCAGTTCAACAACGCCGTTCACTGCCACATGGCGAGGCCCAGCCGTCCAAGCTGGGCGAGCAGAAGTAAAGGTGGAATAAGATTGTCATAGTCAAATCAAGTCACAATGAATTGATTGGCTGCATTATTGCTGGTAAAATTTACGAGGAGGGCTGCAAAAGGCTCACTTCATTCTTGTGAGATCCTATACGAAGGGGATCGCGGGAAGAGACCGCATGTGGCCCGCTTATCAGCACTAAATGGTGCGATGTTGTGGCTCGTAAAATAATAGGAGTTTTTAATGACTTGGGTTTAGCATTAACCCTTGCCAACAGCAGAGGCTTCTTTTGGGATTTTTCAAGTAAGGAAAGTGGTTAGTAAGGAGCTGGATGAAAATTGACTATAGAGCTGCACGGGGATCGAAATCAAGCCGTCGAGGAGGAAGACGATCTCTAGCAGCAACTAGCCACTGGCGAATAATCCAGGGATCCAATATGAGATGAGATTACCCTCGTGGCCCTTGCAGAACAAATCAAAGTATTTCTTCCAGAGCGATGGTGGATCCACAAGCCTGCTCATCAGCAAGGTTACTGCGCTCGACCACGGACCGTATTCCGTTGTGGCCAAGAACGACTGTGGTATTGCTTCATCGGTGTCTGTTGTCAAGGTGGTCACTTATCCAGGTACGGTTTTGTAGATTGTAATAAAGAAGATTCGCTACAACAGCTTGTATCTCTTCTCTGCTTCAGCAAGAATTATTTATTTTATTTATTTGTTTATTCCTGCGTACAATGACGCGGCAGAAAACATAAGGGTCCCTGCAGATGATTAGTACAAGTAGTTTAATGAGTCAAGATATGATAGAGACAGAATAACAGGAAAAACCAAAGAACAAAAAGCAAAGAATGAAAAAAAGAAGCACAAAAAGGAACAAGTTATGTCAATTGAAACTAGTGCAGCAGAGCAAAATAAGGTAGATAGATTGGAAAGGAACCGTGGAAGGGTTGAGGAGATTCAGGAGGGCCTAGGCGTCTTTGAATATGGATTTCCTTGGTGGTATTTTACGGTGAAAACGATGTTGGAGCCGATCAGGGGAGTGGAGAGGAAAGACTGCCCAACATACAGTCCTCATCCATTTGCGGACCGGTGTGGGCGTGGCTAGCAGCCGGCCTGGATTCTTGGTTGCGGGTTTAGAACAGAGTCGTCTCTGACCTCAGTTTTGACAGCGAAACAAGTCGCATTACTGTATAATATCCTTCGTATTACTCGTTTTCTACCACTTTTTGTCGCATACGCGTTGCAACAAAAAAGGCTGAGAACGGCTTCAACAGTGTGCGCACTCCTTCTGGCTGACACGCCCAGCGTCGCGGAGACTGTACACAAGCCAGGCATGCGTCTCAAAAAATTCAGTGCCCACGTCTACCCATGGAAGATCTTCGTGGCCTATAATGAGGCTGGGTAATGCGGCAATACATGCAGAAATGATCTCAAAGGCCTCGGAACCTCCTCGCCAAGACTCCCAATCTCTGTGACTAGGCTGCGAACTCGCCGATAATCAGTGACTCAAAGAATTGACTCCTAGATCCACCAACCTTGGTAGATGGCCAACGCGTAGGTCGAAATGCTCTGTTACTCAGTTGGAAGCCCGGCTCCAAAAGCGGCGTATACTATGGCGTTGAATATAAAACCGAAGGTAAGATGACCATATCACTTTTTCACTCTTACTCATGATTTCATGTTTGTGACATGTCTAGATATGGAACAATTCCGATGCGTTGCGTCCGCGTTGCGTACAACCACAATCTCCCTGCGTCACTTCCGATCGGTTGTCTATCATATCAGAGTGTTCTCCTACAATTTTGGCCTACGCAGTCGACCTAGTGAGGAGATCGAAATTGATTTTGGCAAGCCGTTTAGCCTTTTGGTGAGTAGAATTTTTCATAGCATTCCCAAGAGGGCAAAGGCGATAAACGAAGGGAAATCGAAAAATGTCTTTCGCTGGAAGTGCGAAATCCTTGGCGTGTGCGGGTATGAAAGATGAGTAGCGATTATGAGCGCGCAAAGGTGAGGCCACTGTGCGTGAAGCAACGTACACTCGAAATCCAGAGATGTGGTAGGCGTGGCTGCGCACAGTCGTCATCCAGGCACTTGATTAGGACGGCAAAGGTCGCGACGCGGCTGCGGCGAGCGCGGCGATCAGCTGTTTCCAGCCTATTTTAGCCATTTTCTCCCTAATTTACACTGTTTATGGCTGCTTTTCTCGAGATTAGTTGTTCCTTGTCTTCACAAGGTAAATTATGATTGAGATTCCTCTGTTTTTTGCGCACAATTAAACAGTTAGGCAGACAATTGAACAAACACCCAAAAAAATCGCAAAAACACTCTATTACAGAAACAAAAAAGACTTCACGC